TACTGTGGGTAAAATTCCTAAAAAATGGGCTTGTTATATGACCAGTTAGTTCGCTTTGATGCTCAAGAACAGGCTTATGAGCTGTAGCACTGCTTTATACAAGCAGCGTTTAATGTCACAGCGTAGTTTTTCATCCTGATCTGAATTTGAAGCCCTAAATTGTCTTTTGCTGTCCTAGAAATATGCAGTTTTTCTCACGGTCAGTCACTGAATAACTTTAGCGTGCTTTTAACTCTACCAGGCTCAACTAATGGTCTCTTTCCTTCTCTAACAAAGCAAGCTTAGAATAAACTGCAGACCATATAAAACAAAGCATAACAAGTGCTGACTATGGCTAGAAAAGGAGAATACATTACACCTGTTTTAAATTCCCTTTATTTGCGGTTATTTTTATAATATACTTTAATATACGACTCTTTAAAAAAAAATAACTCAGGGGACCAGCCTCTGAATACAGAACACTTGTGCTTATAGCATAAGTCTTGTCTAGATCTCTCCATTATTTGGCCTTATAGCTGCTCCCTGGACCGGGACTACCTGTGTTAGCAGAGTTTTAAGTGCCACGGTCATCACCTCTACAACAGCCAGTTGGGGGACCTGAGGGCATCAGAACATGCTGACATCTTCAAACACAGTGTCAAGGTATACGTTGTCAGCATAGCGTTTACATAATGGCAAACATCAGGTGAGGGGTGAAGTAAGGGCAGCGACTAACAGTTATTTTCATTACTGATCAATCTGCTGATTATTTTTACAATTAACTCTTTGGTTTGTAAAATGTCAAAAATATGTCCAAGGTGACATCTTTAAATGTCCTGTTTAATCAGTCCAAAACCCGAAGATATTCAGTTTAACATTATATAAAATGGAAAAAAAAAATCACCTCGGGGTCGGGGGGCTCTTCTGTGTGGAGTCTGCATGTTCTCCCTGTTTGAGCGCAGGTTTTCTCTGGGTACTCCAGCTTCCTCCCACAGTCCAAAGACATGCAGGTTAATTGGTGACTCTAAATTGTCCGTAGGTGTGAATGTGAGTGTGAATGCTTGTCTGTCTCTATGTGTCAGCCCTGTGATAGTCTGGTGACTTGTCCAGGGTGTACCCTGCCTCTCTAAGAATAACATTTTCTGTTAAATATTACTTTAACAGTCTGCGACACCAGGGCTCACCACACCCGGGTCCCTGCCCCTGCCACACAAAGCACCCAGCCCTGATGCCAGTCATTGCAGGTGGTGGGCACACAGGGTGGTGGCTCCATGTTATACTTTTGGGCTGACTAGGCCCTGTGGCCCAAGGTCTGGCCACCAGACCTCCACAGACCTGGCTCCACAGGAGGACCCTGGTGTCCCCATCCCCGAGTGTGTCGTGTCATCGTGGTCTTCTTGAACTGCTCTTAGTCTGGCCCTTTGCATCAAAAGGGGTCAGTTGAGGTGGTTCTGGCATCTAATAAGGATACCTCCTGGGTGCCCCCTGGTGGAGGTGTTCCAGGCACGTCCCACTGGTAGGAGGCCCCAGCACAGACGCAGAACATACTGGAGGGATTACATATCTCGTCTGGCCTGGGAATGTCTTGGGGTCCCTCAGGAGGAGGCAGAAAGCGTTGCTAGGGAGAGGGACATCTGGAATACTTTGCTTAGCTTGTTGCCCCTGCACTTTATTTTTTTTATTCTTTAATAACAATACACTTTCCAATTGCTTATTTTAGAGCAGGAAAATCTGGCCTTTATTTTTTGAGATACCCTACAGTGCCACGAACCAGATCAAGAGGAAATTTGGATTTAATGGTGTTGCTATAAGATCAGGAGACCAAAAACATCAGGAATCATCTTCTGGGGTTCTCCTTGCTGCACCCTCAGAAACTGAAATCCTCTTAATTTCCATATATCAGTAACAGAGGCTGTGTCACAGATTTGGATGTGCTGTGTGTTATGTTCAGGCACATTATGTTCAGCTGTAAAAACAGTAGGGTTTAACTGTCTCACGAAGAGGAGAAGGCTTTGTTTATTATGTGTTATCTAGGTGAGATTGCAGACGCAGTCAATTTTAAGTGTTACAGCTCATCATAAGGTGATTTTTTTAGGCTATGCTTTTTAGTAACATCATTTTTTCTGTGCTCCTCTGGTTGGGTGATAATTTAAAAAACAAACATTTTATGGCAGATTTCATTTGGAGACCCCGGGGACTAAAGACAGAGCTCTTTGTTAGTATGGGAATGTTGTGTGTAAGAAGTTGTGTTGTTGTCTGACCAGTGTTTTGCCAGTGCACTGGTACTTTTAGTATCTTGTAAGTCAGGATAATGCAGGTCAACTGTTCCACCTGGCTTAGTATTGGCAAGGTTCTGGGAACATCAGTGAGTCTAAGTTGGTAGAAAAGATGTACACACTAACATCTATGCAGTGTTTCACTTTATTCTGAGCTTTTGGTCTGTTAGATCTTCATCAGATCATACAACAAATCATCAGAACAGACACAGATTTACAGATGTCTGTAGTCCACATGGGCTGGGCACTTGTACTGTACACTCAGCAGCTACTTTATTAGGTACACCTTGATAGTGCCGTGTTGGACCCCTTTTGCCTTCAGAACTGCCTTAATTCTTTGTGTCATAGATTCAACAAGGTGCTGGAAACATTCCTCAGAGATGTTGGTCCATATTGACATGATGACATCACACAGTTGCTGCAGATTTGTCGGCTGCACATCCATGATGAGAATCTCCTGTTCCACCACATCCCAAAGGTGCTCTATTGGACTGAGATCTGGTGACTGTGGAGGCCATTGGAGTACAGTGAACTCATTGTCATGTTCAAGAAACCAGTTTGAGATGATTTGAGCTTTGTGACATGGTGCGTTATACTGCTGGAGGTAGCCATCAGAAGATGGGTACACTATGGTCATAAAGGGATGGACACGGTCAGCAACAATACTCAGGTAGGCTGTGGTGTTTAAACCATGCTCAGTTGGTACTAAGGGGCCCAAAGTGTACCAAGAAAATATCCCCCACACCATTACACCACCAGCACCACCAGCAGCCTGAACCGTTGATACAAGGCAGGATGGATCCATGCTTTCATGTTGTTTACACCAAATTCTGACCCTACCATCTGAATGTGGCAGCAGAAATCCAGACTCATCAGACCAGGCAACGTTTCTCCAATCTTCTATTGTCCAGTTTTGATGAGCCTGTGTGAACTGTAGCCTCAGTTTCCTGTTGTTAGCTGACAGGAGTGGCACCTGGTGTGGTCTTCTGCTGCTGTAGCCCATCTGCTTCAAGGTTGGACGTGTTGTTGGTTCAGAGATGGTCTTCTGCACACCTTGGTTGTAACCAGTGGTTATTTGAGTTACTGTTGCCTTTCTATCATCTTGAACCAATCTGGCCAATCTCCTCTGACCTCGGACCATCCTCTGTAAACCCTAGAGATGGTTGTGTGTGAAAATCCCAGTAGATCAGCAGTTTCTGAAATACTCAGACCAGCCCATGCCACATTCAAAGTCACTTAAATCACCTTTCTTTCCCATTCTGATGCTCAGTTTGAGCTTCAGCAGGTCGTCTTCACCATGTCTACATGCCTAAATGCAATGAGTTGCTGCCATGTGATTGGCTGATTAGCTATTTGCATTAACGAGCAGTTGAACAGATGTGCATAATAAAGTGGCTGCTAAGTGTATGTGTATGAAATTAATACCAATAATGGTACATTCTGTGCAACATGGACGATGTTTGTTTCATGTTTGATTTTTAAATGAGAAATGACATTATTTGGAATGGGTTGCCCTGATCTCGTCACATTTTACAGTCAAAAACACCCTCTGAAGATGATGAATGGATTTCACCATGCAACTTTCATGAGTGACGTGGCCCTGGTTTATTCGAGGTAACCCTCACCCTGTTTTCCACATTCATGTGAAGACATATTTGTGTTGCAGACTGTTCAGCACCATGGACAGCTCCTTGAGTCTTGAGAGGCTGCACTGACGCACTACATCTTCCCCATGCACTGACCTACCTTTATTCCAACATCCCCTCTCATGACATGAAAAGCATGCTCTCTGCCTTATGGTGAATACACACTCTGCATATAGAAAACATAAGCCTCCTTTTTTGTTTAACCAACAAAAAAAAATAATGCAAGCAGCCCGAGCTCTGCTTAAATTATACAACTCTGCTGAACAAAGCGTTAATCTCACTGCACGCTGCTCGGCGTCTCGTGGGGGATCATTATTCTTTATATGCAACAAAGCGGTGGGTCGCTCACACTGCCTATGAATGTATACCAACATCACTTTTGCACGCTCTTGTAAATGACTGTAGGCATCACTCTGCCACTGTGCTTTTTACAAGGGCCATAATAGTCTTTATGTTAACTGTCATGCAAGGCACAATACCTACAAGGCAAGCTGGCCTCTCTGTTTTAAGTCAAATTCTCATTTAGGGGAAATATGTTGATTCAGTGTTTGCTGCCCAGGCCTGCCAACTAAATCCTTGGCAATTTGAGCATTAGGCTAATCTAATTTGATAGTCTAAGCTAGCCCATTGCAAGTAAATCTCAGGTCATTGCTACACTGCCAAACAAGGTAATTCTATCCCCGAGGTTGTTAATTACAGCGCTCAGACAAAGGCAAAACGGGATTATGGGCCCTACAGTTGGGCTGAGATGCCAAATCACGTCTGTCTAAACAAACCCTCACTCCCTCCCTGCCTGTCTCATAAATTACAGCAGGGGATCTGGACTAATAGCTGTGTGGGTGTTGTGTCCCACATCAGATCATTTATCAACCAGGAAAAAACACAATGACACACCAGCGGGTCATCATCAGTCAGATAGAGCCGTAAATGTGGTTAGATGAGGCGCTTTTGAATTTAAGTTTTGGCGTTTGATGCAGAAACTTAGGGTCTTTACGTCAGCCTCAGGACCTAAAAGCCAAAAAAAAAAAAAATCCTCCTCCTCCTCCCCCTTCTCATCCCCCCTCCATCCCTCTCCTGCTATTTGAATAGAGAGCCAGCGGAGCACTCTTTTGTTCAGTAGCGCTCAGCTGCTGGAGAGGTGAGCACCACTCTGGCGCTCATCCACTCATCGCGGCTGCCGCCTCGGCTCGTCTCCGAAAGAAGCGCGGACACTGCTTGAGACAGTCACCCATTGCATGCAAAACAATTTATATATACCGGTGCCTCCTGGGTCTGTGCCTCCCCTACCCGACACCTACAGCTGCTTCGTTTTCACCCGCTCTTGCAGGGGCTTTTTACGCGCCGTTGGATGGTTCGGCTCCCCTCGTCTGTGGCGCTGTACCACCTGCACCGTGTCAGACCGGCGCTCCTGCTTTAAGGCTACTGCATCGCTCTACATTCCTGAGGACTGGACCCCACTTCATCCGAAAGGTGAAGGCGAGTTGTTTAAGCTGCTTTTTTGGGCATTTTGACCACAGTGTTAGCAGGCAAAGTGCATGTAACGGTGTTGTACAGCCACATGCACAAGACAAACAGGGTGTTTCACAGCTTGTGTTCACTACAGTCGGTGTTGAATTGGAGATGAGCTTGTCAATACTGTTCAAAGATAATGATGATAATTACAGGTGCACTACAAAGACAGGAGTGTACAGCTATTGTACGAGTAAAGCTCATTCCTAAAATGTGTGTATTGCTCTTCATGCTTTAATGAGGCTGATTTTTAGAGAGATAAACTGATGTTGGAAATTTATTTTGATTTGTTTGATTTACCTTTGTTTTCACTTGCTATCTTTATTTTAAATTAATGCTTTTCTTGTAACTAATTTCATCCTCCCACCTGACATAGGGGGCTTCTATTAGAAACATATTGTCTTGACACAGTGTACCCATTTTGTCATTTTCCTCCTGGTTTGCATGATGTCATGACTGTCCAATTATGCTGCATCCCTTAACAAGTAATACATGTAGCAGGCTGAAGTATCATCCCCTCTGTTTCCCCTCTGGCAGCTGCTCACGTTGAGCAACTTAAAAAGACATCCAGCCTAACAAGGTCACTGTAGGATTCAGATCTGTGTGACCATCAGTCCACCTCTTGTAGTAAAAACCCCCCTTCGTCTTCCTGCTGTAAGCCTCCAGGTGAGGCAGATAGGGACAGAGAGGGAGCTGTTGGCCAGGGTGAAAGTCGATAGGCAGCGCAGCCAGGGCTGTCAGTGCTGTCAGCGAACCAGAGAGGGAAACCCGAGACATTATCTCGGATGGCACTTACACTCAAACGGGTCTCTCAATTATTCCTGTTGGAGGAAAAGTTTGCCACCGCACGGCAGCACCTGAAGGCTACACGCTGATCAAAGTGGAGGAGGGTCCGAGCACGGCTGCCTTTCAGTGGGCTAGCTCGCAGTGCGGGGGGATGTTGGCGAGAAAAGAGAAAAGAAAACAACTTTGCTTTTTGTCTGCTTGTCTTCATTTTCCGAGCGTATGGCAGGGTGTCAGATAGAGGATGGCGGCGAGGGTTGCTCATGACCCCTTGGGAAATTAAGCAGAGATTCAACCAAGCAGTTTGTGAAATAGTTACTAGTCTGTCTCACTCCTTCTCTTGCTCTCTGCTAGCCTCTTAGTCTGTGTCTGTCTCCATGTATGTGTGTGGTACAGTATGTGCACACACATGGCTGCAACACTACAGTATGTACCAGCTGTCTTTTGTACAATTGATCTCACACTCCTTTGCTCTGATATTTCATCCCTCCCAACCTCCCACACATGTGCAATCCTGTGTTGGCCTTAGCGTCGGCAGAGTGATCATTAATGTGCAAGGCCTCGGACCAGAACCTGCAGACAGCCTGGCTGCTGGATCAGGAGCTCCTGTGTCCCAGCTGATGCAGAGCAACACCACAGAGATCAGAAGCTTCATTTTCATTCAGTGTCTGACTGTCGAGAAAATGTTCCGTTCTCACTGGTTGAGCAGCCATGTGTATGCCTTTATATATGCGTGTGCGTGTGTGTGTGTGCGAGCTGTTGGTCACCCCACTTCCTGAATTGTGTCAGTGAACTATATCAGCTCCTGTTGCACTAATAGGATGTGGCTCCAGATTTAACTCCTCTTTTTAAGCCATTCTGTCGGATTTTTTCGCTCCTCTCTGCCTCTTGCACTCTCATGCATATTGTAGAAGGTCTCTGTGTTTGTCTTTCTGTCTCTCTCCCCTCTCATCCGTCCGTTTCTTCCTTTCGTCTTGCTCTGTTTGGACTCTATCACTCTCGCACTGGATCGCGGGCTCTGCTGTTAACGCCATTGTTCTCAGAAGAGGTGTTCCTTTCTGTGGTATTGCCAGTTCACTGCCCCCATTTTCACATCTTCTGTGTGATGAGGCATTACAATGGATGAACAATATTCCTTTAGAGAGAGGTTCAGTGCTTCTCAGTGGCTCCACTCCAACCGTGGTCAAGGCCAAAAGCAGCTCAGGAATGTTGTCATCACACCACAGGAGGACGGAAGAAAGAAAGAGAAAGAAAGAAATAAAAGGGAGAGAGAGAGGGAGGTAACAGACTGGCAGAATTTTACAGAATTATCTGCTCTTAGCACAAGGTTGTGTTGTCACATATTTCAATAATGTGCCTTTTCTGCCTGGCTGCGCTCCGCTTAGTGCACACACTTGTAGCGGAAGACGTGAATGGGCAAAAATTCAATTTTGCACTTGAGTAGTGTCCAAGCAAGTGAATGGGAAACTGTGAATTTTGACAGGGATTTTTGCAAATGTAAGCCATTAATATTCCCACAATGAACCTTCTGCTATGCTTAAAACAAACAAAGCCACCCTGGCTCGAGATGAAACAAGGGAGAGCAGCCAAGCAACTGCACAGTATCAGCACGGAGGATCTCTGGGCTCGAGTTAGGCTGTTTGACTGCTGAGGGCCTCCAGCTACAAATCCTATAGTTGGAAGCGTGTGGTGCTGTGAGTCAGTTGTGCTGCTTTGGCTAATGGCTTTAATCCTCGTAATTCTACAGTGGAAAAGGAGATATTTAGTATTGAGTGGGACTTTTTTTTTTTGTGTGTCTCTGCTGAAAGTTCAGTGCCGCCGTCTCACTGTATATGTTACAAATGGATGTGGCTTTTTTGGCGATAGTGGTGGAAGGAGTGGGAGGGATGCTGGAAGATTCCTGCAGAGAGAGACTAATTTACAGACCTAGATAACCCTGATCCAATTAGGCAGTGAAAACACTCACAGCAGCCTACGCACATATTCAATTCTGTTTGTTGAAATGATAGAGAGAGTGTGTGCTTTGTACTGTCTGTTGAAGTTCAAGTTTGTCTGCCCACATGCACGTGGCGCCGGTAAGGCTGGGCTCCACTTGGCACCTCCATTCCCCCAGGGTCATTTCATGGGCTTAATGAAGGCTGTACCTTTGCTCGCCGGAGGACGTCAATCTGCTTGATCGACAGCTCCGTGTCCTTCCACTCCTCCAACCTGACACCGCCGAGCAGATGGAGCGGCGCCTAAAGTGGGGCGCTGCTAGCTTTGCCTTGGCTAACGATATAATAGTCTGGCATTAGCCATATTGAACTAGCCGCCCCAGCTAGAGCCAAGCAAATGAGCAGCGCAGCTGGGGCCATCATGGCCAGTGTCAGTGCAGACAAAGCCCAGGAGGCACAGAGGCAGAAAAAAAAGGTAGTTTACCACAATCCCTCCAGACGCACACCTCGTGAATATTCATCAAACAACCCCCCCTCTCCTCCCTCCCTAAACCCAGCTCTGCACCCCACTCCCACCAAATGTATTATTCAAAGGAAGCATTTTCCCTATTAAATACTATAAATAAATAACGACATCTGGTAACAGTTTTTGTCTGCTGAATTAATGACAGGGGCACAGTGGAGTATCTTCCACTGATTGGAGGAGGGTGGGTTTCCTCTCAGCTACCTTCCCTCTCCTGGCCTTTCCTTTGTCTCACCAATTGGGTGCGATGCATCCTTTGTTAAAGTCAGGTGGCGTGTCAGTAGATGTGAATTAGATGGCGTCTTTATCAGTCACCTCTTAAAGCACCCCGAAGGAGAGGCAAACACTCCACAGCTGTTTGTTTTAACATTATGCTCGTGTTTTCCTGTCTGAGTTAATCCTCAGAAAAAGAAAAGCTCCCCGCGGGCTCTTTATGTGGTTTCAGCACCGGACAGCTCCTGAAGCATTGCCCGTTCTGTCTACCTCATAGCTTCTCTCTCCTGGTTAACAAAAACTCAACAGGGCACGTCTTCACACGCAGCGCAGGACTAAAAGATGCATCACTCACGGATATCAAGTATCTAATGTTGGCATCATTGTTGTACAGGCTCTATCTGTCAGAGTCTGATGAGCTGGTAAACAGGGAGTGCTTGAGAGGCCTACAGATGGCCAATGTTTTCCGCTCTCGTGTGCCGAGGTTCCCAGAGGAGGAGCGCATTTTGTTGTGTATGCGCAAGTGTTCAGTTTTAATTTGTAGAGGTATAAAGGAATCCCCCGGATCTGAGGAAAATGGGAAGTAAAGTGAAAGGAAAGCACAACATAAGTAAGTAGAAGAGGAGAAGCCATTGTTACTGAGGAGTGATTTCTGTCTGTCTTCCTCTACCTCACCCCGCCTAACTGGATCCAACACAGCAGGGCTATTTATGAAGCCGAGGCACCAGTGTGATACTTATAAAGCTCTCCTCGCTAATCAGAGATCTAGCTCAGGGGTTGCTGAAACCAATCACATGGATTTATGGGAGAGAATATCAAAGTTGTATAATTAATTTCATTCATCCCTTGCACCCAGGTCGGCCTGATCCATGCACGTCGGCTTCCTATTCTATGTGACGGCTTTGTTTGTGTGTGCTTTGCATGTGTGTGAGTGCAGTGTTTGACTCTAGTTGTTACTGATATCGGTTAATAATTTTCAGTCACACAAACTAAGACACAATGTGACTCTTCCTCTTTTGTGTTATTCAGACAAATAGTGAATGGCGAATGCCGAAAGAGCTTTCTGCGCAGAATGCCTGGGTGCATAATTTCTGTAAAATATTGTGGCTTCAAAAGGTTTGTTGTTGGTGTATTTTGTTGTTGGGGGAGAAAAAAAAAATCAGTGCTGCTTTTTATTCCATATACCAGCCAGAAAAAACAGGTTCCTCTAATCCTCCCGTCTGTCTCGCTGTAGGCGCAGAGCTGTGAATCATATTTTTCTTAAAGGTTTTTCATTGTTGTTGTAATACTGCCTTTAAATGTTTTCATATCACTCACATTTATTTTTTTTGATCATGCTGCTTCATAGAGTCTAATAGAAGCAGGCGCAGACAGACACATCCAATAAATGACAACCTTTCAGTGGCGCTGGAGGTAAAACCAGGATCACCAAAGTCATTAGGCCGCAACCTCTGGGAGCCATGAGTGTGTGGGTAAACTTAAAGGAGCAGTGTGTAGGATTTAGTTGC